CGCCGGGACACGTGTTCAGTGCCATTAATGACACGCACGTACTCAATTGCATGCGCCGTGCCATGTGTCCTGAGTATTTGGAAATCTACCAACGAGCCGTGCATGTGCGCCACTTGTCAAAGTGGAAGTTTCTGAAACCAGTAGTGGAACGCAGGTGTCGTGTAGAGGGACGCTCGTCCGTCTGACAGTGGGATTTTGAACAAAAGTGACTTTTCTAGAAAATCTCCCACTCTCTCTCACGCGCACCTTCTTCCCTTCCAAACTCAGAATCTCCATTTCTCCTCCTTCTCTCTAGAGCCCTTCTCCTTCTCTCTACCATAACTCACTTTCTTATTCTCCGATCCAATTTCAGAAACCGTAGAGGAGATCCAGACGTCCTGAGCTTTCCATCAAACCGAACCATTCTCAGTTCTGGTAAGTTCGCTTGGACGTTCGTCTCTGGAATTTCTGCAAACCGTACTCATCTGCATGCATGGGCGTGAACTCAGTCCTTTCGTTTTCTTTTGTAAATTTTAGTTGAAGAGTTTAAGAGGAACGTTGAGAATAGAAAGTCACTTTGGACGAGTAGAAACCACTCATCTTAGAACGTTCGCTACGAAATCCGGGTAAGGGAAGCTTATTGTGATTTAATTTATACTGTGTGTTGTATGCATGTTCGGTATGGATGGTATGCATGAATTGTATGCTGATGTATTAGTTATGAACGATCGCTGTTACACTGAATGAATGTGGTATGCATTGGGTGATTCGTATGCTGATGGTTGCTTGGTATGAATGATCAATGAGAATCTTATAAAGTATGTAATTTGATATTTTGATACGATGTATAAAGTATGAACTGAAATATGATAATATGAATTCTGTAATGTATGAGATTTAAGGTGGAGATAGATTATAAGATATGAATCATATGAAAAATCTGGGCAAAATTAATAGTTCTTACTTTGATAAAGCACGCTCGTCATCGAACGGTCTTCTACCGTTCGGTTTTCCCTGACAATGATTTAGAGTGGAAATTCTTTCATTTGGAAAGGATTCGTCTTAAGAACGAGCGTCCCCCTTTGAAATGTTATTTGAGCGTTCGTCCTAATAGCGCTCGGTTTATACCCAGCGTTCGTCTTAAGTAACGCTCGGTCTTACACTGAGCGTTCGTCCTTAATAGCGCTCGGTCTTGAAACGAGCGTTCGTCCTTAATAGCGCTCGGTCTTGAAACGAGCGTTCGTTCTTAATAGCGCTCGGTCTTGAAACGAGCGTTCGTTCTTAATAGCGCTCGGTCTTGAAACGAGCGTTCTTTCTTAATAGCGCTCGGTATTGAAATGAGCGTTCGACCTAAGTGGCGCTCGGTCTCAGACCGAACGCTCGTCCATTTCCGTAAAGTGTAACGAGTGAGTATAGCGCTCGTCCTGAATTTCCAATAAGCGTTCGTCCTAAATTTTAAATAGCGTTCGTCCAAAATATTTATTGACGTTCGTCCAAGTCTTCGGTGACGTTCGTCCAAAGATTTATTCAACGCCTACTTTCACGCTCGGTCATTGACGGGCGGTCGTCCCCTAAATTAAATTGTGTTCGGTTTATCTTACTCAACCAAGTTGTAAGGTATCTATCCATTGGATTCTTTCCAGAGTCATTAAACTTAAATTATTCTAAGTACTTTCCGATCGTAATAGGGTTAGTTCATTTAACTAATTCAAAGAAGTCTTTCTCGGTCTTGTCCTCGACGTTCGTCCTCGTTATGAAGAGGAGTGAACGTTCGTCATTTTAAGAGAGTGGAACATAGAATGAAAATGTATTTAAAAGGATGAATTAAGATGTGCGAACACCATGAGAATTGAAATTGTGATTGAAGATATTGAACGAGCGTTCCAGGGTGGAACGACTCTTGACTGGATATTGATATTTGTAGTATGAACGTGGTAAGCTTAGATGGTGATCCATCCTGATATTCCGTGAGTGCTCGTTCTCAAGTAGAGAGGAGTAGGTCATGCGTGGGAATGGCAGGAGGTCTAGACCATAACTGTAACTTGGACAAAAAGACTAACCTCATGTGGCTACTGATGAGCATTCCAGTTACCCCACCTGAGTGCACGGACGCCTTAGCTACACAGGTTTCATACAGTCCGGACGGTCGGTCTAGTATCAGGATTTTTGGTTGAGTTAATGTATGATTTGAATGCATGTGGTATGAATAAATTGATATATTTGATATGTATGAACTGTATGTTTGACTTGAATTAAATTCAATAAGCTTACCCTTGCATTTTCCATTGTGTTGTCTGGTCTATGTATATCCGTCTTGTCAAATGCAATGATCATCCGTGTGGATGTGAGCAGAGGGAGATGCTTCTCTGGAGCAAACGCTTGAAGAAGGATTCCTTGCTGAAGAAAATCTGGTAGAAGTTGAAGTGAAGGCCGAACAGTGAGCGTTCGGTTCTAGTTAGTGTAGTTAGAGTAGCGAGCGGCTGTGAGCGAGCGCTCTTTTATGGTTGGTTTATAGTTGGACGTTCGGTATTTGTTTTGTAAACCGTTCGTCCTTATCTTTGGTGAACGCTCGTTAAATTATTGTACATTTACGGCCGTTCGGCCTCTTTCGTTATTGTCGCTCCCTGTGTATTAAAACTGTTTTGGGTTATTGATACGTGTAATTATTCTAAGTATATAGTTGATGACTGTATAATTTTGGGATGTTACATTATTGGTATCAGAGCAGTTTTGTTCTCTTAAGAATGCTGTAGGTTATGAGTGCATTGCGTTTTTGCTGTGTGCTTATCGTGTGTTTAATAAGTTACTGTTTTAACTATTAGACATTTCTAACGTTCGTTTTCTCTGGTACAGAAAACGATGGCACCTAGACTCCCTCCTCCACCCCAACCTAACGAGCCTGATGCGTCCAACAAAGCTAGGTTGTTGGAGACAGTAATAGACCGCTTACAGCAGCAGAACACTACACTGATGGAACAAAATGCCACTCTAATGCAGCAGAATCAGAGTGCCATGCAGAGTTTGGAAGCTTCACGTGCCAACTCTGAAACTACACAAAGACAACTGATGGAGATCTTAGCAGCGACTAGGCATCATTCAGGGGCGTCTTCTTCCAACGCTGCCCCGCCTACTGCCGAATGGAGCTTGGAGAGTTTCCTCCAACACCATCCTGCTAAATTCAGTGGGAAGGGTCTCCCCGACGAAGCGGATCAGTGGTTGAGGGATATAGAGAAGATCTTCAATGCCAAACGATGCCCTGATGAAAACAGGTTGGCGTACGCTGAGTATTTACTGACTGGAGAAGCGAGCCATTGGTGGTCGAGCGCTAGAGCTATTCTTACGGACGCGCAACAACCGATCACCTGGGAAGTATTTAGAAACAAATTTTATGAGGAATACTTCCCTGACAGCGTGCGGTTTGCAAAGGAGGTGGAATTCCTACAATTGGTTCAAGGAAATATGTCCGTCTCGGAGTACACCAATAAATTCAAACATCTCGTCAGATTCAATACTATGGCCACAAGTGAAGTGTGGCAGTGTAGAAAATTTGAGAACGGATTGAGGAGTGATCTCAAGGTTTTAATTTCCAGTCTATGTATCCGGACGTTCCCAGCCATGGTTGAGAGGGCTAAGGTACTTGAGAAAAATATGGCTGAGGCGGAACAACAGAAGAAACAACAGGCGTCGAGAGGACCGGTTATGTCGAGACCCAATGTGAATAGGAACAGGACCCCATACGCTCGTCCAGCCCAGTCGAGTGGTTCACAATCTATGGTAGTTACTGAGGTATGTCAAAGGTACCATTAAGTACGGTATTCTATACCAAAGGGGAGGAAAAACTGAAATCACAGCCTATAGTGACAGTAACTATGCTGGGGATTTAGATGATAGACGAAACACTTTTGGGGCAGTATTCATAATAGGATCAGGGGCTGTATCATGGGCTTCGAAAAAGTAGTCAGTAGTTAGCTTATCAACTACAGAGGCAGAATATATAGCTGCAGCAGCATGTGCTTGTCAATGTATTTTGCTTCACAGAATTCTAGAACATATTGGGATTGAAAGAAAGGAACCAATCACAATTCTATGCGATAACAACTCTACTATTCAGCTGTCCAAAAATCTTGTCTTTCATGGACGTAGTAAGCACATTGCAGTAAAATTTGACTTTCTTAGAGATCTCGTAAATGATCACATTGTTCAATTGAAATATTGCAATACTCAGGAACAGGTGGTAGATATAATGACTAAGGCGGTGAAGCTTGAACAATTTGAAAAACTTCGACAAATGCTTGGAGTAGTTGATATTACTACAGTAAGCTAGAGCTTAAGGGACGAATTGTTGAATTATTATTTGTTTTTTAAATAAAGCCCTATTTCTAAGGGTTGAACTAGTCTATTAGCTATTATTTCGATGTACGTGACTACTTTTTAGCCATTTACTTACATTCAATTTTTATCTGTAAAGGTTTATAAAAAGTCGTGCTCTTTCAATTGAAAAAGATTAGGAGAATTATCCATTCACAAACAGTGTGTGCAGGCAGTAGTCTGTGTAGTTAACATCTTCATCTCCTCTCCAACCCAACAATCCTGCAAACCCAAAGCCAAAGCCAAAGCGTTTCGTGAAAAATCAAATTCCAGATTCAATCCTCAACGACCCGCTTCTCAACGCCGCCATCTCCGTCCTCCCCTCCAACTACAACTTCGAGATTCACAAGTCACAAGTCAACTGGTTTGCGCGTGCTCTCCACGGCGTCAGAGCGCGTCCGCCGAATCAAAGTTGTCCGAGGGCCATCCTTATGTAAGCTCTATTCCCTCTCATACATCTTCACTCACCTTTTCCGCCGTCACCACTTGCTGGACAGAGTGAATCCTCGCGACGTAACCTTGGCTCCTGCTGCGCGACGACTTCTCTCGCGCGTCCAGCGGACTCAAAAAAGATGCGCGACCAATCCTCTCAAAAAAACAGCAAGAACGGACAAAACAGCTTTGCCAAAAAAAGTCGTCCCCATCGGATGGAACACGCAACCAAAAAAACGCTCCAACAACCCTATAGCCCCGTCTGTGACTGTTTGTCGTCGTGTAACCGTCAAGAATCGCGGGGGGAAATCCCCGCACGGGTGGGGCGGAGCTTCGGGCGCACCAAGGAACGTCATGATTAAGAAACTAATGAATCCACAACCCCGACCGCCCCAAACGACTGCTTTGTTCTGCGCTGGGGGGTGGAAACGAAAAAAAAGGGGAAAAAGTGTCAATTCGCCTCAACGATCTCGCTGTGAAGCGGACCCGAATTGGAGGCGAATTCGGGTTTTATGGGTTTTGTGTTCCTAAGTTCCGTCAGATCGAAGGGGGGGACCGGGAGCTGTTCCCGCGTGGTGAAAGATTCTGGGTTGTGCACGGTCGCCGATGGGGTCATCGGCAATTCGCGTCTTGGTTGTTGAGGGGTACGAAAATGGTGGAGTGCCGGGAGCGTAAAGGTTGAAAAAGGAAAAAAAAGAAAGAGGAAAAGTGTTTGTTGCGGATGGAGAGAAGTTGTGTCATTTGGTGCCGTTCATGATTGCAATCCGGGGATTAGGGCATTCATGTATGACCTTACAATGGGGAAGTTGTTTTCTTCTGAGGATACGAAAGGGTACACGTGGGTTGAACGGAAAAGGAAAGTACTAAGGAAACAAAGTGCGATTATTGCAAAGGGAGGAAAACGGAAAGGGAGTCGTGGGCTAAAAAAGGGAAAGGACAAAGTTGGAGTGGGTGTGGTTGTATGGAAAGTGGGTGAAGGGAACTCATATTGGGAGACCGGGAGGGTAAAAAAGGGAGATTCCACAAAGGATTTATAAAGGAGGCAGTTGAAGACAGGAAGAGCTGATTGTGAAAAAGGAGGAGGAGGTGTGTGGATTAAAAAAACACAGACCCTGGGATGGGGGTGGTAAAGGGTATAAAAAGGTGTCGGGAGTAGTAAGTGGCGCCTAGTAGGGTTGGCTCGTGATTGAGGATTCTGTGGTACTCCTTGATTCAGATGTGCAGGGTGAAAAATCGCAAATAGGTTGTGCCAGTGAGACTGAGGGGTGACAGAAAAAAAGGTGAGAAGGGAGGGGGGGGAAGGCATTTAGTAGAACCGGAGAAATGGGGCGTGACAAAATGAAAACCTATCTTTGATACTATCAAAATATACAATACATATATGAACAGTCGTTTGCCGGCAGATAGGTTTGCTCTGGGAGTGTACCTGGGTGGTAGGCGGGGGTAAGAATGAAGTTTGGGAAGGATGGTTTGGGTTTTGTGTGTAGGAATGAGGAGTTGTGCTTGCTGTGATGGGGAGAGCAAAGGGAGGGGAAAGAATTGTTTGGTGGAGAGTATCCCATGGATTACATATGCTGCACGATGGTGGCGAGGAATTCATGTTATGTTAAGAAGTCTACTCGTCTTGCCAGGGAGTTTCAGTCTCCGCTGAGCTGGTGCTGCCATTGGGGTCGCAATATTCTTGAGGATTTCGCCAACAGTCCAAGATTGTCAAACACAGGGATAGGCCTCTGATATTCAAGAAGTTTCTTCTTCTGCAGTTTTCTAACATTCTAACACGACAAAGCAAGCAAACTACAGCAGCATTGACTTTGTGGTATGAAANCTTAAGTAACGCTCGGTCTTACACTGAGCGTTCGTCCTTAATAGCGCTCGGTCTTGAAACGAGCGTTCGTCCTTAATAGCGCTCGGTCTTGAAACGAGCGTTCGTTCTTAATAGCGCTCGGTCTTGAAACGAGCGTTCGTTCTTAATAGCGCTCGGTCTTGAAACGAGCGTTCGTTCTTAATAGCGCTCGGTCTTGAAACGAGCGTTCTTTCTTAATAGCGCTCGGTATTGAAATGAGCGTTCGACCTAAGTGGCGCTCGGTCTCAGACCGAACGCTCGTCCATTTCCGTAAAGTGTAACGAGTGAGTATAGCGCTCGTCCTGAATTTCCAATAAGCGTTCGTCCTAAATTTTAAATAGCGTTCGTCCAAAATATTTATTGACGTTCGTCCAAGTCTTCGGTGACGTTCGTCCAAAGATTTATTCAACGCCTACTTTCACGCTCGGTCATTGACGGGCGGTCGTCCCCTAAATTAAATTGTGTTCGGTTTATCTTACTCAACCAAGTTGTAAGGTATCTATCCATTGGATTCTTTCCAGAGTCATTAAACTTAAATTATTCTAAGTACTTTCCGATCGTAATAGGGTTAGTTCATTTAACTAATTCAAAGAAGTCTTTCTCGGTCTTGTCCTCGACGTTCGTCCTCGTTATGAAGAGGAGTGAACGTTCGTCATTTTAAGAGAGTGGAACATAGAATGAAAATGTATTTAAAAGGATGAATTAAGATGTGCGAACACCATGAGAATTGAAATTGTGATTGAAGATATTGAACGAGCGTTCCAGGGTGGAACGACTCTTGACTGGATATTGATATTTGTAGTATGAACGTGGTAAGCTTAGATGGTGATCCATCCTGATATTCCGTGAGTGCTCGTTCTCAAGTAGAGAGGAGTAGGTCATGCGTGGGAATGGCAGGAGGTCTAGTCCATAACTGTAACTTGGACAAAAAGACTAACCTCATGTGGCTACTGATGAGCATTCCAGTTACCCCACCTGAGTGCACGGACGCCTTAGCTACACAGGTTTCATACAGTCCGGACGGTCGGTCTAGTATCAGGATTTTTGGTTGAGTTAATGTATGATTTGAATGCATGTGGTATGAATAAATTGATATATTTGATATGTATGAACTGTATGTTTGACTTGAATTAAATTCAATAAGCTTACCCTTGCATTTTCCATTGTGTTGTCTGGTCTATGTATATCCGTCTTGTCAAATGCAATGATCATCCGTGTGGATGTGAGCAGAGGGAGATGCTTCTCTGGAGCAAACGCTTGAAGAAGGATTCCTTGCTGAAGAAAATCTGGTAGAAGTTGAAGTGAAGGCCGAACAGTGAGCGTTCGGTTCTAGTTAGTGTAGTTAGAGTAGCGAGCGGCTGTGAGCGAGCGCTCTTTTATGGTTAGTTTATAGTTGGACGTTCGGTATTTGTTTTGTAAACCGTTCGTCCTTATCTTTGGTGAACGCTCGTTAAATTATTGTACATTTACGGCCGTTCGGCCTCTTTCGTTATTGTCGCTCCCTGTGTATTAAAACTGTTTTGGGTTATTGATACGTGTAATTATTCTAAGTATATAGTTGATGACTGTATAATTTTGGGATGTTACATTATTGGTATCAGAGCAGTTTTGTTCTCTTAAGAAAGCTGTAGGTTATGAGTGCATTGCGTTTTTGCTGTGTGCTTATCGTGTGTTTAATAAGTTACTGTTTTAACTATTAGACATTTCTAACGTTCGTTTTCTCTGGTACAGAAAACGATGGCACCTAGACTCCCTCCTCCACCCCAACCTAACGAGCCTGATGCGTCCAACAAAGCTAGGTTGTTGGAGACAGTAATAGACCGCTTACAGCAGCAGAACACTACACTGATGGAACAAAATGCCACTCTAATGCAGCAGAATCAGAGTGCCATGCAGAGTTTGGAAGCTTCACGTGCCAACTCTGAAACTACACAAAGACAACTGATGGAGATCTTAGCAGCGACTAGGCATCATTCAGGGGCGTCTTCTTCCAACGCTGCCCCGCCTACTGCCAAATGGAGCTTGGAGAGTTTCCTCCAACACCATCCTGCTAAATTCAGTGGGAAGGGTCTCCCCGACGAAGCGGATCAGTGGTTGAGGGATATAGAGAAGATCTTCAATGCCAAACGATGCCCTGATGAAAACAGGTTGGCGTACGCTGAGTATTTACTGACTGGAGAAGCGAGCCATTGGTGGTCGAGCGCTAGAGCTATTCTTACGGACGCGCAACAACCGATCACCTGGGAAGTATTTAGAAACAAATTTTATGAGGAATACTTCCCTGACAGCGTGCGGTTTGCAAAGGAGGTGGAATTCCTACAACTGGTTCAAGGAAATATGTCCGTCTCGGAGTACACCAAAAAATTCAAACATCTCGTCAGATTCAATACTATGGCCACAAGTGAAGTGTGGCAGTGTAGAAAATTTGAGAACGGATTGAGGAGTGATCTCAAGGTTTTAATTTCCAGTCTATGTATCCGGACGTTCCCAGCCATGGTTGAGAGGGCTAAGGTACTTGAGAAAAATATGGCTGAGGTGGAACAACATAAGAAACAACAGGCGTCGAGAGGACCGGTTATGTCGAGACCCAATGTGAATAGGAACAGGACCCCATACGCTCGTCCAGCCCAGTCGAGTGGTTCACAATCTATGGTAGTTACTGAGGTATGTCAAAGGTACCATTAAGTACGGTATTCTATACCAAAGGGGAGGAAAAACTGAAATCACAGCCTATAGTGACAGTAACTATGCTGGGGATTTAGATGATAGACGAAACACTTTTGGGGCAGTATTCATAATAGGATCAGGGGCTGTATCATGGGCTTCGAAAAAGTAGTCAGTAGTTAGCTTATCAACTACAGAGGCAGAATATATAGCTGCAGCAGCATGTGCTTGTCAATGTATTTTGCATCACAGAATTCTAGAACATATTGGGATTGAAAGAAAGGAACCAATCACAATTCTATGCGATAACAACTCTACTATTCAGCTGTCCAAAAATCTTGTCTTTCATGGACGTAGTAAGCACATTGCAGTAAAATTTGACTTTCTTAGAGATCTCGTAAATGATCACATTGTTCAATTGAAATATTGCAATACTCAGGAACAGGTGGTAGATATAATGACTAAGGCGGTGAAGCTTGAACAATTTGAAAAACTTCG